CCCCAAAACCCCAAAACCCCAGAAAAATAAAAATTAGAGTACTAATTTAGAAATAAATAATCATTAATTAAGTAGACTTATGATATCTTGGATTTCTTTCTATCTTTCACTGATAGGAATATCTTAAATAACTTTAATAATTAGTGCTCTTGTTTCAAATGCCAAATTAATAGCACTATTAAATCTTTATTTATCTATTGGAGCTGTATCAAAGCTCAATAAAAATTTAGTAGTTTAGACAATAAGTTTTAAACCTATTGATTTAGTCCTATCCTTAACTAAATACTTATCAATGTATTGATTTATGGAAGGTAGAATATCATCTTCGAATCTCTTCATACTCAAAATGAAATCACTTTTCTATACAAATATCTCATTAATCAATTCAATAGCTTTAATTTAATGAGCAAGTGCACTTGGATGCTTGATGATTGATAAGATATTTTAATAAATCTCATAAGTTAGAGCTGATAAAGTACAAGGTATTTTCACATTTTCTGAATCCTCAACTGAGAAAGGGTCATGCTTAGTCTCTCTAAACATCTCCTCATCCTTCAAGAACACACTACAGTTCTTCAATATAGTTAAAGTCTTCACACAAATCACGATGGGCTATGTGCTTGGATTAATGTAAGGTTACAGTCTGAGAATTAATCTTCTGATTATATTAGCTAGATTTCTATTCTTTGTTACCATTTTAGCCCTCATTTCTTCAAGTTTATCTTTATACTGCGTCTCATCCTTCTTCTCAGGCTTATGATAAGCACTGTAGTCATGAACATGTAGCGAAAGCAGTTCAGATATATCTACACTTAGCAATATAAGCTTCTAATCCACTTATATTATCGATTTATCAATGTTCTCAATTACCAATGCAAACAAATCATAGATCACATTTTCAAGTAGTTTAGGAGTGTTATTTTTAAGAGAGTTTAGTATCTAGAGAATATGGTGACTAGCTGTCATTTACTCTGAACCATATCTGATCTTTGAGAATAGATTGTGAAAGTAGTATCCGTTTTCAAGTTCTAAAAGCTGACCTAAGTTATCCACATCATAGCTAGACATAAAGTTTTAAAGTATGTTGAATGAAACTCTGTTAATGATTTCTATATTAGAAGATATTCCACTGAAGGCATAGGCAAATAGCTTATTTTTAAGCTATAGTTGAGGCATATTTCTTATTTAGAGTCTCTAAGAAATGAAGTAAAGACATAAATACATCATAGCATAGTATCTCTCTTGAATAGGGTATTTGATATTTGCATCTATTTAGAGCTCCATTTGATCTATTAAATACTGCAAAAGCATAAGTTATTTTTGCCTAGGAGTTATATATGCTAGTATGTATAATATTTAGCATTTCTACTAGAGATCTGCGCTGGTTTTTTGCCTGTTCTAAGTTCTTTCATCCATATTCTTTAGCTCTTGTATAAGAATCTCGAACATCTCAATTTTATAGGAGTCTGGCTACTGCCTCAATATATCGCTAAGACTGTTCATGAAATCTGCGTCATCCTAGAATATTTCTATGCTTGAAGCTAAATATTCTTTGATATAGAGATAATTCTACTTTATTTAATCTGTAGAGTCATTCTAGGGCTTAAATTCCAACTTATGTTAAGACTTTTTCACTTCTTGGATCATAAATCTCTGAGATTAAAATTGGATGAGGCTTCTTAAATTTGCTAGTAATACTGGGACATCTTCAATAAGATTGAAATCTATATCGTACTCTTAAATTAGATTCTATAGTACTGATATCTTTTTGATAGTATGAGTTCTTTAATGAGTATTAATCATTTACTTAATCTTTTTTATTTCGAATATCAAGGACTTATAGCTCTCATAGATTTGTTATTTGAATTTAAAGCTTATCAATTCTTTCGTTACATTGAACTTGCCATTGCAACTGTGATTAATGATTAAAAGGGAAAGTGAAAGCTGACTGTCGAGATAAATTTAGCTGAGATTGCTTAATGCCTTATTTGTAAGCTCTTTAAGTTGAATATTGACTTTTGGCTAGTCATGATTAAGATAGAGATTATCAAGAATGTATTTAAAGCAGTCTGCTAATCTTTGTAAGCTTTCACTTTTTTATTGATCTTTGGATTAAGACTAAGAGGTTGCTGTCACATTTTTCAATAGTTTTAAGCTAGTAATCTGAGTATTTTTATTGGTCTCTCAATCATTTTTAAGGGATTAAAAGTAAGGGACTAGAATCAGTTCCCATATTTCTAGCAGCTTAATTTTAACCTTTTGATTGGATTTATGATTCCCTCCCAGAGATTTAGTAACTACTGAACTGACTCCTGGGATAATATCATAGAGACTCTATTATCTCATCTTTTAGCATATCAATTTCATTGATGTTAAGGAGCGTTCAGCTATCTCCAGAGGCTGCTCAGTTCTAATAAGAACCATACACCACTTAATGTAATCAAACATATCAGTTTCAACTGCTTAGATTATCTCAGTATCCACATGTCCTAGCATGCTTTCTACAATGTCAAGAACTCTGAATATTAAGAAGTCCTTCTTTGAATCTATCTTGTTAATCAGAATAGAAACGAGGATTTTAATGATTGAGACTGTGATATTGTTAGGCATGGTAAACTTAAGACCAATGATATCCATTACTGCTATTAATCTTTTCTCTAAGTCTTGATCGTTAAGTTCCTCTAATGATCTTGAGTAATTTTGCAATGATTTCACTGTTTGAACTAAGATCAAAGCCAGCTTTTGGAATTGCAATGCTTAGGCTTCCATTTTTACAACTAGTAATTATATTGTTAATATATTATTAAATAATTATGTCAAGTTCTCTCATAAATGCATATTTACACATATGGGGTTTTGGGGTTTTGGGGAGATCGGA